TGCTGTAGGTAGGTACCAGTTAATCCGAAATAACATCAATTTTCTTTACAATCAGAAACTATATCTTCTCGAATTTAATGCAGAGGTATAACTTAAAAGTGTAATACCTATATCGTCAAAATGGGAAAAAATACATCTACAAACTATATATCATTGGAAAGGTAATTTTGTGCATATTCTAAAAATGTAAAAATTTACAGGGTGTCCCATTTAAAAAAGATGAAGTTTGAGTCATATCTCTTAAACGGTACCTCGGGAAAAAAATTGCAGTACGCCAATGGAATCTACGTAAAAAGCTGCGTCAGATACAATTTTTATCTTTCTGATATCTTTTTTCTTACGCGGGATAATGACTTCCCTCGAAAAGTGAAAATTTCAAGTTTCACCCTGTATCTTCGAAACGGTTCGAGATAGAGACTTGCGGTTTACGGCATTTGATCCGTCATAAAAAATTGGCCCAGGAATGTGAAATCAAAAAAAATCTACCTCTACGACTTTAGCAGATAACCCCCAATACCATCTTAAATGGGACACCCTGTACGAGCCCAGTGTTGTCCTATCCTGATCACAAAGGCATGTTGATTTTGGACACAGATGCAAGTAACACCAGTGTTGGAGCTGTCCTTTCACAAATCCAAAATTCACAAGAACATGTCGTGGAGTACTACAGCAGAACATTATCAAGGCCGGAACGAAATTATTGTGTCACCAGAAGAGAGTTGCTTGCCATAGTAAAAGCAGTCGACCATTTTCATAAGTATCTCTACGGACGCAAGTTTCTAATTAGAACAGATCACGCAGCTCTAAAATGGCTTTTAGAAATGAAAACTCCTGAAGGACAGCTTGCTAGATGGATTGAGAAATTGCAGCAATACGATTTCCAAATTAAACATCGACCTGGAAACCTGCATAAAAATGCTGACGCTCTGTCTAGACGGCCATGTAAAGAAGATTGCAAACATTGTCAAAGAATCGATATACATGAGAAAAACACTAGTCCAGCTGTAAGAAGAACGGGCCTGATCGTCGATGACAAATGGACTACCAAACAAATGAGAGAAGATCAGGACGCAGACCAGGACATCGGGCAAATTCTACATCTTAAAGAAAATGATGAATGTAGGCCAGAATGGGGGGAAGTGTCAAACAAAAGCTTGATTTACAAGGCGTTGTGGGCCCAGTGGAACTCTCTGGCCGTAGAAAATGGTTTGCTCAAAAGAGTTTGGGAAAGTGCCGATGGGAAATCCACTAAGAGCCAACTGGTTATCCCAAAAGACCGAGTGGAAGACGCATTAAAAGAGATACACGACGGAACTTCAGGAGCACATTTCGGAGTTGACAAGACTTTGGACAAAATTCGGGAACGTTTTTATTGGGTTCACTACCATGAAGACGTTAAAAGCTGGTGCCGAAAATGCGACATCTGTGTTACCAGTAAAGACCCTAAACTAAGATTTCGGGGGCCCATGAAACAGTACAACGTCGGTCTCCCATTTGAAAGAATAGCGATAGATGTTGCTGGACCGTTCCCAGAGTCAGAGCGTGGTAACAAATACATCTTAGTTATCATGGATTACTTCAGTAAATGGCCAGAAGTTTTCGCTATTCCCAATCAAGAAGCCATCACTGTTGCCCAGGTGCTAGTGGACGAAGTTTTTAGTCGTCATGGTTTGCCACTAGAGTTACATTCAGACCAAGGACGAAACTTCAAATTTGCCATCTTTAAGAAAATTTGTGAAATCATGGGAATTCGTAAGACCAGGACAACACCTTTACATCCACAGTCTGATGGCATGGTAGAACGATTTAATAAGACCATAGAGGAGCATCTAACAAAAGTGGTCGCAAGGAACCAGCGTGATTGGGACAAACACTTGCCTCTGTTTTTAATGGCTTATAGAGCAGCTGTTCACGAGACAACAGGTGAAAGTCCAGCCAGAATCGTCTTTGGAAGAGAACTCAGGTTACCTTGCGATTTGATGTTTGGGATACCTGAAGAAGAACGGAGAGAAATCCGAGATTATGCCGACGAAGTAAGGGCACGACTTCTGGGTATCCATGATTTTGCTCGGGAGCATATTCAGCTAGCCAGTGACCGGATGAAGACCAGATACGACATGAAAGCCAATTCAGCCGGATTTCAAGAAGGTGATTTAGTGTGGCTGTATAATCCAGCTAGAAAGAAAGGAGTATCGCCGAAGTTGTTTTCAGCGTGGGAGGGACCCTACAAAATAATCAAGAGGATCAATGATTTGGTTTATCGAGCGCAACACCAGGAGTAAGATGAAAGTTGTACATCTGGACAGATTGGCGAAATATCATGGGCGTGAAGTTGATCGGGACGATCAACCTTAATAGGAGGGCAGTGCCAGAAACAACGGCGTCCGCCAGGCTGTCAAGAATCGATGGCGGAAATACTAGAATCTAGCGAATTATTCTACTTTAATCTGGAAAATTAGAATATCGTGTGTATTCTAGATTTCACAGGAATAGATTTAGGGATATATAAGAAGGCCGGCATTGGTTTGTAAGTTTAGTTTCAGTTCGACTGTGATACGATTTAAATAGTGATTGTAAAGAGTTTGATTGTTGAGTTTGTTAATAAAGTAATTAGTGTCAGAGTGTTTTGTTAAGTGGAATAAATTATTGCTGTGTTAATTGGACTTTGATTTTTGGAATAAACGAAACGAACGACGAACCCAAGATTTTTGTCAGCAGGCAACCCAAAGCCGCGACACTATTAATATTGTTGTGAAAAACTTCGAATGTATGTATTCTAGCAACTTGGCTTAATGCTCGTTGACATTCTTTCACTGAACTACAAATTTCATTGTTATGTTGCATGTATTCAAAATTCTGAATGTATTCATCCATTTCTACCTACTATCATACATACATATCAACTACCTATTATGAAAAAAAAAAAAGTAAAACCTACCTAGATCAAGAAAAAATATAATGTAAAAATAAATACAATGTAACTGTTTTGCAAAAAAAAACAGAAATGAGAAAAAAAAAACACAGAAACCTTATCTTTTTTTTTTATTAGATCTGGTGTGAGTGCCAATTGGACTGAGTTTTGCTTTTCTTTCGTTTTTTTTTGGCTTTTTCTGGACAACTCTCTTCTGTTGTATTGGTCTTGTTCCGAGTCTTGTTCCTATACTCCTCTTCGATTACTTCTTCCTCCTCCTCTTCCAAGGATGATGGTTCTGAATAATTGTTCGACTCACCAGAGTCTGTATCAGTGTCCGACTGTTCTAGTTGTTTTGCAGTATAAATCTTTCCCTCTAGTTCCAAAGTTAATCCTTTTATTTTAACTTGCTTCTCTTCGTCCCTAGCTTTCTTAAAATGTTTTTTTATAATTTTAAGCTCTTCCCTGTCTTCATTGCATAAGTCATTAGAAATGGCGTAACCTGTGTTTTTAAGGGCTCTAAGCTTTTCTGCGTCTTTGAATAGTTCGGACTTTTTCAAATACGACAGAAACTCAATAAGAATTGGTGAGTCTCCCTTTCTTCCCAATTTATATAAGTTATTTATATCGGATTCTCTAATGTTTGTGCCGAAAAGTTCGTTAAGCTTGGCAAGGGTGTCCTTTATTAGGCTGTTGCAATTTTCAGAATTAAATCCAAAGAGTAAAATGTTGTTACGTCTGATTTTGCGTTCAAAAGAAACGTTCTTTTTGTGTATTTTTTCTATTTTCCGATTAAATGAATTAAATTTCCTTGTAACATTCGATTCACTTTCTTGTATTTGCTTTGTTAACTTTTGGGTTTGTGCATTGTTTTGTTCAGTTACCAGTTTGTACATATCCGAAAATGTCTTCGGCTCCTCCATTAAATACAACAGCGATGTATTCAGTACAAAAGCCTTGAAATATTAAATGAATGAATCTTCCCGCTTCCCAATTCTCGAGCGTACTGATTTTTCTATGGTACTATCATACTGTTGTACTAATTTTGGCGACTTGCTGTTTTTGTGTTGATTAAGGTAGAAGGGTAGCAGGTGGGCGGTACCTGCTGGGCGATAATGAACCTTATGATATCGGTTTACTCGGAGAATTATGATAAGAAAATTGTTTTTTTCTCTCTGAATAAAAGGTTTTTCCACGTACCTTTTAGTGAGTTTTGAAGTACTTTTAGCACTGTTTTCACTGATACCACTTTTGTTTTTAGATTTTTGCACTAAACACACTAAAATCGTCCCAAAACAGGAGCAAACAATATTGTCGCACAACTACGAGAACAGACTTTGAACAATAATTATGTACTTTCTGCAACAAGATGCACAATTGTAGAATAATTTACAATGCCCAATGCACCTGATGCAAAAAAAATTCAATCAATTATAAATCTACAACTTCCAACTAGAAAAGTGACCTGGAACACTAATGCATAAAACAGAGATAAAAAAGCAAGGATTGCAGATGTTTTCAATCGTACGATCTGTGGTGCGGCTAGCCGCCTCTCGAGACGATAATAGTCGCTGAACGCCAGTAGTGGAAATTCGCGGGCCATTTGAATGCTAGATTTCAGTGAAGCATGTGAGACTTGTGAGAGTCTAGCCTCCGGTCGATTTCTATTCTTAGAATAATTGCAGGGAAGGGACAGATTCACAAATTTTTGTCATGGAGGCGCGGAATAATTTGAAATAAAGTTGTCAGATCGTTCTTAATTACATTATAATATCAAAATTTGGAATGTGTAATTTGTGAATTATTATTTTAGTCAGGATTGGGGATAAAAAATCGAGATTGAATTTTAAATTTTTTGGGGGTGGCTTAGCCTCCCCTGCCTCCTCTGCAAGCCGCCAGTGGGTGGAGGGAGGATATTAGAGGGCAGCAGGATTTTCAATTGTTGGAAATGGAAACTAGTAGGTACCTATATGAACCTGGGAGGCGTACATTCGGGACTGGATATGTAGCCCCATGATATAACCATGATCCATGGTAACGAACTGACGAAGAAATTTGTAGTGCATCATTTGAAAGTATAAAGCTTACATTTTCAATGGTTATATAGTATTTTATTATCAATATTTCAATTTTAATTCAAGAATAAATCCCATTCGATATTACCTAGAAGTAATTCAATAAAGTCGGACAAAGCACTCCAAAAATTCTCAACTGGAATTTTGGTAACTGTTTGTATCCAATCCAAATGGTTTGCAACATTAGTTTGAATTATAAGCACACTTTGCTCGCAAAAAGTGGGATCCATTTTTTTATCACCACTGTCATAATGAGATACTATTCCTACAACCTTCTTCTCTATAACAATTGGACCTCCACTATCTCCTTTACATTCGCTTTTATTGTTCACTGGAATGTAACAAAGAGTCTTTTCAGGGCAATACTGATTTGTTAATGTTACATTGATTGCTCTTAGAGTATCAGAAGCTTCGCGATTTTCCGTTAAGCCCCAACCACTGACTACAGCTGGCTTGTTTACCATGTTATGTATAAGGTCTATTCTTTTTGGAAGACTAAAATTAATATTTGTATTGAATTTTCGTAATTGAAATCACTATACTCAATTCCTAGATACATACCTTATTGGTTGAACTTGGGAAGATAATTCGATTTCATGCTCTAACGTAATTATAGAAATGTCATTTTTGTAAGTAACTGGCTCAAATTTGGGATGATTTCTCCAACATTTTCTGCAACGTTGTAATTGTGCACCACTCTGTAATTTGCCTTCCTCATGGAATGTTTTGATCGATCTATCGCTCCCCATTAAAACTGTGACTATTTCTGGATCTTCACTCCTATAAGAATTAAAACATTTGAAAAAATCTAAGAGCTTTGGAGTGAAATATTTTTCGCTTACCGAAAGTTGAAACAATGAGCTGCAGTTAGAATGTGTTTTTTAGAAATAAGAGCCCCTCCACATTGAAGTAGTTCTGATTTATCGTGGTAAGTAATTTCTAAACCGACTTGGTAGGGATAATCCTTTATTGAGACTTTTTCTCCGTTAATAATTCTAGGACTGATGGTTTTCTATAATGTATGTATGAAATTGAGACGAATAAATCGCCTTCTTAAGAAGTGCTTACATACCTGTTGAGTTTCCTGCCATAACCAGGCACCAAGACCAAAAACGAAACAGAGGACATTCATATTACAATTCAATTATTTTATTAGATATTATTACAAACAATTACAAAACAATGAACCGTATTTTGGAGCCTATTTTAGGTATATATATGTATATGGGTATACATAAATAATTAATAAATATAAGGCAATCAAAATACACGTGTTTCACGATTTTTGCTGTGAATGTGCCTGTATCGTGAAAGTTATTGTCACGTTCAAAGAATAAAACACTTTAATTTCTAAAATAAATTATTTAATTATTTATTTATCACGCTATATTTATTTAATCTTAGAATCTAAAAACAGCCATAAATTTTTTTATTAGAAAATTATAGTCGACGTCTAAATTGTCATTGCGTCCCTTATCCAGTCAGTTAATTTGGCTGCGTCACAAAACACCATGAAATTCGTGAGATCGCATTTGCCTTTGTCGCTCAGTACCAAAGATGCCAATCCTCGTAAGTAGAATTTTCCGTTTTTGTTCATCATAAAACCGGCACCGCTGTCTCCTATACACGTACCAGTACCATCTCGTTTACCTAAAAAAAGTAATCAATCACAATCACGTATTTTAACAAGCAAAGCGGTAATGGTCTATTCAAATTCTGTGATAACGCTATCTACTCTTGATTATAAACAAGCGAGTTTACTTTTGAGAAATTGTCAATTTTAAACTGTATAATAATTGTCGGAAAGGGTAAGATTAAATGTAAGATAGTACGTACAATATAGATATTGTTCGTCGATTTTTAACTGACATTTTCATTAGAAAAGTACCAACGTCAGTTGCAAGATAATTTAATCCAGTGTTGCCAGCATCAGTACAGATGTACTGAAATCAGTACAATTTGACCCTCTTCAGTACGTCAGTACCACACTATAAAATTCAGTACATTTTCCCGCCGCTGTACAATACCGGGGATATTCTTAATAAACGGCGGGAAAAGTTAACGAATACCTGCATTTTCGAATTGACGGAAGCAAGGACGATATACACTATTACTACCAGGATGGCCTATCCTCATAAGGCCTGTGTGTAACAAATCCCCCCCCTCTTCCCCCCCCCCCCTTCCAAAATACCAGTTGTGACGTAGGCAGCATGTTATTACTCGCCTTGACGTAGACTGTTTAAACAGCTGACGTCTTAGTTATGACGTCAGCAATGATGGCACACCAATATGGCGGCGATTACCAAAAACGAAGCCGATAAGCACATGTGTGTAATCTCCTTGGGACGGAAGGGGATCACGAAATACTCCGGAGCAGAATTTTGAGTGCACCCAAACATGCCTTTAGCCCGCGGCCGTTTTACGCCCGTATATGGACTCAATCTCGATTAGGAGTTTAATCTCGCTTAGTTCAGGTCTGTTTCCAGTCAAAAACAGTCAGAAAACTAGTTTCAACCAATGAAATTTACTCTAACTGGTTTGTGATCTCTGCAGAAACTGACCTTTCGAAAATTTGGCATGCAGCGCAAGAAAAAAGGAGTTTAAGCTGAAGTTTTAGATTACTTACAAGATCCACCAGAAAGGAGGGTTTTGCTTAGATTAGATGTTTGACGTTTCTTAGATCAAAAAAAAAATCCAAGGGTGATAGCAATCTTAATACTGACCTATTACCTAATACTTAAATTGCCTAACATGTACATTCTTGAGAAGCTAGAGGATATTAACATTAAATTTCGTGAAATAAGTAACCTGCCCCAATCTATAATGTCAGATCTTCTGAAAATGTAACGATTTTGAAAAATTTCGGTTCAATTTTTATGACATGAAAAACGCGGCAAATTACCGGTGCAGCGCTTGTGCTGAGAGGATGTTCTTAAGCCTAAAAAAACGAAATAAGTATGCTAAAACCATCTACTTTATTAGTTTTATGAACTCCAGTTCAGTTTCTGATGTTAGTACATTTTTACGTTTTCCAGTACATTTTTTGCCTCTTGATCAGTACTTTAATTTTCGAGGGTCTGGCAACGCTGATTTAATCTCAACTTATTAAATCTCCTAGCAATCCAGCATCTAATTCCGTATAAAAATAGTATAAATAAAAAATTACGAAATTTCTAAGCTCAACTCAAATTACATAACAATTTTTTTTACCAACGCAAGCGATAGGCGACCGGATGTCAGAGTTCGATGTCGCCAATTAATAGATTATTGCGACATTCCGATAACAAAAAAAAAAGTCAATAAAAGATTATAAAATTAGGACGCGTTTAACCGGAAATCACTATACTCATGTGATTTAATTGCGACATAATTGATAAACTACAACACCGGTGTTTCCGCCGGATGTTGCATCATTTCCTAAGTAAAAACAATTCTTGGAAAACAACAATGCTAAATGACCGCCCACGTAACAGAATTTTGGTGGGAATTGAGTACTATTTAAGCAGGTTACAATCAGAAAAGAGATAACATCCAGCAGTTGATTTGATAGTAAGATTTAAGGAATCAAGAGAATTGGCAGTGAGTCTCCACCAAAAGATTTTTTTTATTTTAGTTTTGCCTCGGGCAAAACAAAGTTTGCAATTGACTATTGTCCAGTAAGAGTCATAAAGTAGTAACAAGTTTTCTTTTGTTTGTGCGTGCTAAGTAACTGAAAGTAATTTTGATCGTTTGTGAATTGAAGGACAGGTTGTAAGTACATGTAGAAATTTGAGACTTTAGTAGTTATCTATTAGTGAATTAATTTTAAGAGAACGGTCTAAGGAACTTTACTGAAAATTTATTTGATATTCCGAGTGAAATAACATTTGAATTTATTTTGATAAAAAAGGGCTTAATTATCAAAATAGAATGAACTTGACTATTGCTAACAATTTGAAGTGCTAACAATTACTAGAAGAATTTTGAACTTGAATTATTTGATTTTTGAGTAAATTTGACTTTTGAATTTAATTTAATAAAAAATTTTAATCAGTGAAATAGAATGAACTTGACTCTTGACAACAATTTAAAGTGAATTTATTATAAGAAAATTAAAACTTGATTTTAAGTGAACTTTTCTAAGGAACTTTACTGAAGGCTTAATTGTTTTGAATCAAATGACATTTTTATATTCAATTAGGAAAATATAATGAACATGATTAGTGCCAATTTATTTGAAGTGGAATTTTCCAAAAGAGTTTTAATTCAAAAATAGAATTTTGGATTCAAATATTGGATTGCTACTACACCGTTTTTGAAGAAATTGAGTTAATGAATTGATGAGCTTAAACTATTAAATAAAAAGAAATTCTTTATGCAGTCTAATTTTAGTTTGTAAGTTGGGAGTGTCAGGGAAAGTCAGGGATTTAATTAAAAGTTTTAATATGAAAGGATTCAGTATTAAGGAAGTGTCAGTAAAGGGATTTGTTTAATGTGTAACCTGTAACCAACAAATGAGGAACGAGATGAATAGCGTATAATCAACTAAACTTTGATTAAGAGGGTGTATAACTGGTTTGTTTCAAAGTATGAACATTAAAGTAAGAATTTGTTAATATAAAAAAAATTCTTTATTTGTCGTGTGCCTAAGTTATGCTGAATTCTTATGCTGAATTCTCCTAATTGATAGTGCTGATTTAGTTAATAAAATATGTATAAAAACTATTATACAGTTGTTTCTCTCATTTGCACCATTCACCACTTACTTCTGTAGCAACCCGAGGAAATAATTAACATCAAATAGAACCGCTCGCCATTTACCATCTAACTAATTAATAGAGTACTTAGGTGGATTACTACATTGGTGTCAGGTGTGGGGTTTATTATTTGTACATTGAGAGCAACTGTGAGGTTATTTTAATTCTATTGTGAGAGCATCGGTAGGGTTGGAAATAATTTTTGAACTGAGAGAAACTGTAATTTTATTAGTTAAATTTAAGTTGAGAACAACCAAGCGACGTTAACGATGTCCAACCCTCCGAGTCCAGTACCACAATTCAACACCAACATGCCTAACCTGCTGATTAGATTCCATACCTACCTATAATGGAACTACGAGTGCCGAAGAATTTTTGAATGTTCTAGAAGAAACCAGTATTTTAGCTGACTGGACAGAGACACAGCAAATTTCAGTAGCCGGATTGAAACTGGGATATCGAGCCAAGCAGTACATAGAAGTGTAGTGCAGTTTAATATTAACACTAGGTATATTCATATTATTATTATTATCATAACATCATAATCAGGTCACCTCCAGTTCACGTCATTAGTATTACCAAACTATGTAAACCATATTGTAACCATTATTCAGATCCAATATAACGTTCAAACCAATAACATCCGTTGTGTTTTATTAAGGATCATACATGGCGATTCTGCCAGGATGGTGCCTAAGTACAATTTTTTTTTAAGAACTATATTATCAATATCAAAAAAATAATTATTTTTTGACCGAGCGCGCGATACGAAAAATAGACATGGGGAAAAGTTCTAGTAAACACGCGGAAGTGACTGATACCGGAGCGGTAAACTCGAATTTTATCGTTGAAGAAAACGCTGTTTCCGTACCACATGACGTTCGCGTAATATTGTATGTGATTGCTGCAGCCGTGTGTCTGATGACATTTTTGAAAGTGCGTAAATCGTATAGGAGAGGCCTGAAACGCAATTTGGGCAGAAGCATGGTGCTAAGAGCCAGAGCAGCTGATAATGTAGACGCTGTCGCATAAAGTTCGTAAGTCATACACACGCAGAGGACAGCCGGTATGTACAAACTTGTTATTATGCCCGATGCTGAGTATACGTCCCTTGTCTGATCTGAAAATTGAGCCATTCAAAGATAGATAAAATAAAATGAAAAATTGATGCCGTAATAGAGCAGCTGAGTTCCCGTGTGTTCACAACTTTCATTATATTATTTCCTGAAAAGAAGAAGATGTCCCAAAATATTAAAAAGACTTTATGGTGCTTATTTTAAGTCCATTTCATTCATGTTCATCTGATTATTATTATTTTTTTCTTCTCTTTGATATTAGCTCTATTCACGAATGCATAATTTAAAAGCTAAACTATATAGGTCCATAATAACTAGTATACATTTGACCTTCAAAATTGTTTATTCTCTAGGTACCTAACTATCTACTATATTATGGTATTATTTCCTTTTTACGTAGTTTTATTTTTTTTTTTTAGTTATTACTGGATAAATATTTATTATTTATTTATTTATGACGTTCAACTGGGATGAGACTCATACCCGGCTGACAAATTTAAAAGACGCTATCGTTAGTGAGTCTAAAAGAGTTTTAAAATCAAACGTACCGAAAAGCGAGAGTGTGCGCGAGGAAGTTAAAGTAAATTTGCTAACCCTTTATAATGATTTTGTTAAAATATGTACAATTAACTACCAATTTTTAGATAATAGACAATATCAGAAAATCAAAAAACTTTTTAGCACAGCGCGAGATAGGGTAATTAGGGCTTATTTGGTTCTTAGAGTACCATATAAAATACCAAATTCTTGCACAGAAGTAATAAATCCTTCAGTACTGGAAGAAGATCTGGAAATCCCGGATATAGAAGAGCAAGAAGATAGTGACGAGGTTAATAGT